CTACCCCAAACACTTATGACATTAAAAAAAAATTCTGAAAAAATCTTTCCGAGGGCCCTTTGAAGCTGGCGATTTTTGATAAGACTCATACAACACGCCCACACAAAATAAAAAATCACCAAGGCATTAGCTGCCCCGGAACTTCCCCTCAAACTACCCCAAACACTTATGACATTAAAAAAAAATTATGACATTAAAAACTATAATCCCTTATAGTCTCTGTAACACAGTATACGAAAATGTCTACTTTTGTCTGGAAAAATTTTACTATAGCAATTTATAAACTAACTTACCTTTCTACTGGAAAAAACAAATGAACAAAATTTCTATAATTTTTTTTGCTGCAGGAAATAATAATATTTGGATACACTTTATTCAGCAAAATACTATGTCACTAATAAGAAAATTGAACCACAATATTGTGTTTTATAAAAATTTTACGATTATTGTAATGGCTGACGCAAAAAAGTATTTTTAGTCACAATGGCTTCACTCAAAATCAGTCAGTACTACGCGACGACTATACGAAGTCGGCTTGAGCGGCATGTTGAGATGGTGAGGTTGAGTGGGCCTGAGCAGAACTGACTGCGCATATCTCATACACTTGAGGGACTTAGAAGTGTGGTAGTAGTGTCGTAGAAGAGAGAATTTTCTCGAACTTTAAACCTCACTGTAAACATTTACGCGGTACGCAAAGTATCATTTAGCCGATATCGTTACATGAAGTGAATCAGTTTTTATCTATTAAAAGTGAAGAAAATTTTTATTTATAGTGAAACATTTATTTACTATAACAACACGGGACATAAAAATAGAATATAAAAAAAAAAGGTTTGCTATATTTTTCATAATTTTTTTTAGTCATAAAAATAATTGTATACATATACATATACGTTATCAATGAAAATTAAGTTAGCCGACACTCAGCAATATTCGATTTTTTTTATTAATTAAAAATTAGAACTAAAAAAATATTTTTAAAAAATTCCACGTATAATTTTTTTAATTTTCTACATGTGAAAATTTTTGTTTTAATTTTTTTAAAATTATTTTTCAATAAAATCAATTATATAAATTTTCAAATGTCGGCTAATTTAATTTCCATACGTTATCAATGTGTGTATTTACATTATTTTTAATTACATTGAAAAATTTTTATTTATGCTTTATTTCAGACATGGATTATACTAAAACTTACTGCATTATTGAAAGAAATAGAAATGATTTTATTATTTTCCCTACAAAATACATATATTTTGAAGACGATAAAAACCGTGTACTCCCCATATCGGAAGCGACTGGTATAGTTGAAACATTTTTTGCTTATGAAAATGGAAGGGTGAAACAAATTAAAAAAATAATTAAATGTAGCGGTAAGTTTATTATTAATATCACATAAACTGAATTGAAGAAAATAAATTCTACACAGAATAATTAACATTACTTAATTATTGTATTAAAAAAAAAATGCTTTAGGTCAATTGTCAAAATTTAGTTATATACTATTTTATTAATGGGTAAATTTTTTTTTCTGGACATGGTCGTAAAGTAAAATTTATTCATTTAATGTATTATAATTAAGCATTATGGAATGGTTTTTTATTAGTATGGACTAATTTTAATATTTTTTCTCTTTATAGACAATATGGCCGAGTTACAAAAAAGTATGGAAACTGGAAAACGATTAAAGGTGAAAAAAAATTTGTCATTCGCCACTGAACCTGAAAGTGCTGCTGCAAAAAAAAAACGCTTAGCACAAGAAGAAAAACAGAAGGCCAATTCAAAAAAAGTAAATAATGATTATTGAATATTTATAAATCTACCTATTATTTTATAAGCATTTAGTGAAGAAAGATAAAAATAAAAAATATTTTTTTTTTTCAGAAAAAAATTGCTAAAGCTGCCAACGAGGTTATTGAAGAAGAAGATGGTCAATTTCTGAATTACGTGAAGGCAAGTTTTTAATTTTAATAAGATGTTATTAATGAGAAGCTAAATAGTTTTCTAGATAATAAAATTGAAATATATTCGTTTGTGGATTATTTTGATAAAATCAATATTTTTAATGCGTACAAAATAGAAATACTAAAAAATTATGTAGATGCATACTTTATTATTAAATAAGATCAATGTAAATTTAGAAGTTTTTTGGAATATTAGAAACGACAGTCATTGAGTTGAATTTTCTTGTGGTGAAATATTACAAAAATATGGATCAATGTTCAATATGATACTTTTTTCAAAATGATGACAAAAATGACATTAACAATGTTTGATTTTCAAAAAAGTAATTATTTAAATATTAAACATTCTTTTTTTCAACAGTTGAAAGCCTATGAACTTTAACATACTTTTATATTTTAGTGTATCAAGAGTATACCTAAAATAACATAGGCTATTTCAATATAAAACTCAAAACAAATTAAATAAATCGTGAAATAAGTTAGCTTCAAATTCGTGTACTGTTCACTTTTCGATTCCAATAGTAATATTCTCAGTTATTTTTATCTCATTCACATAAATATAATTTTTGTTGAAACTTTTTTTTCACAAAACAAGATATAAAAATATCAACCAGTATATTAAAAAATAATTTTACATTTTAGGTTATATTTCCATTAAGTTCCAAATTTTTTCAATTTTTTTTTTATTTTTCAGAAACCCAGATCGAATAATATAATAACCTCAGCTAAAGATAAGAATAATAACAAAAATTCAAATGAAACAAATAAACACACTGGAGTTGCAATTCTAGAGGATGATTCGCAGAATACAGAAACTGGAAGTGACAACGATGCGGAAGATTTTGAAAATAATAGTAATTATCAAATACTATTCGATGACACACTACCAGTCTTAGAAGGCAGTGACTTGTTTGAGCCGAATTATTCTTCCACTCCACCTGATTCACCAAATCATCTGATGTTACCTCTAAGCCATGGTCAGAGCGGCCATGATCAGAGTGACCAGGATCAGAGTGAACAGGATCAGAGTGACCAGGATCAAAATGATCAGGATCAGAATGACCATCATCAGAGTAGCCATGATCAAAGCGACCGTAGTCAGAACAGTCGTAATCAAAATACCGATAATCAGAACAGCCATGATGACGGCAGCCATGGTCAGAGTAGCGTTCGTGATGAAGAATCAAATGATGATGTTATGGAGGAATTTTTCAATAACTTGTGGCCAGAAGCAAGTTCAAGTTCTGGTAACAATAATAATAATAATAATAATAATAATAATAATAATAATAATAATAATAATA